AAAGGGAGCAGTGATAGCAGACGAGTTAAACACCATTACATCTCTCTGTAGCCACTTTAGGAATGAATATATGAGCTAGTTATCACTGATTTTTATGTGTATGTGTGATGGATAAGTCTAAGTTTGCAGCAAGATAGTGACTCTAATACCACAGGCTCTGAAATATCTGCAAAGTCAAAGACAGGTGGCAGAGGAGACAAGATGCCCTCCTCTGCTCTTCCTCGGGCGGCCCATCTCACCAGCAAGGTGCTAGTAGGCAAGCTGAGGTCTGAACTTCCAGTGTGTCTGCTTCCACGGTGCAGTCTCTCCTACACGCTGCTCTGCTTGGGAGACAGATATGTTCATTAACATCTGTGGTTATGAAGGAGTAAAGGGGTCCTGAGGTTCCTGAAGTAGTTGGAAGGGACACTGAGAAATCCATCCTCACCGCTGCTCTCTCCCAGGGTCTTTGCGTGGCCATCAAAACACACACACACACCCCGATGGCATAGGGAAACCTGTAAGTAACAGTCAGCATTGCCAAGTGAACGACCCTGCTAAGGATAACTACCAGAGACAGCACTGTGCCAGGGACAAAGTTACTCAGACAAACTACCAGCACACATCTGTAGATGACCACCCCTCCTCTTCCCCCAGATCTTTCCCTTAGGTTTTCAGCAGCACCAACCCGTTTGGCAGTAGGGGTAGGTCTACACTGCACCTTTTGCGCAAAACAGTAATGCAGTGATGCACTGATACATCTGAGGCATCTCAGAGCTACCCAGCTTATGGAACAGGCCCTTCTCCACCAATTCCTGATCTCAGAAGAGGCTGTAAAATCTGTATGTGCTAAGCAAGGTAAGTGAATTTTGTCTAAGCTCTGAGCTGCCATGGGACTCCAGGTACTGAGGTCCGCTGGTTTAAAGCTGTTCAGTATCTGTCTTGATCATAATATTGCAGGTATGTAACACACCTACACTCCTTATGCTGTATCATTTTAATTTAGTGACCTACAAACGGGTTCTCCAGTTTTCCAAGTACAGAAAAGCTAAGGGCAGTTGGGAACCTTCATCACACAAAATAATCCAGGAGATTTCCCATTTTTGGACTACTTGTGGTAGTCCATTAAAAGAAAAGAAAAAAAGCAAAGAATGCACAGTCCTTAATAAGGAGCAGAGCTACATGGTCCTAAAGTGATATATTTTTATTTTTTATTTCTGTTCTCACCAAAAGCGAGATCCATCTCTCATTGCCCTTTCCCATGGCGCTCGCGGGAGGGTGCATCTACATTAGAACTAGATTGGAGCTATATTGGTACAGGAGGGTTATCCTAGATTGTTTAGGCGCCATGGTTTGGATCTGCACATAAATTCTAATGGAAGTGAATAGGAAGCAGAGACGTTCCCTGCTTCCCAAACACACAGACCGTGATAAGTTAGAGAAAATCTGGGGCTTCCCAGATTCCCTTGCTCTATTCCTGTATGCAGTGTTGGACCGTGTTGGTGCTCTAAACCTCCCTCCCCCATCCCTGTTGCACATCCCACAAGCCCTTTCAGGGCTAAGGCAGGCAGTATGGTCAGTACAGCATACTTGGCCCTACAAGATGGGGTCTGAGCATGGTTAAGTGCCTTTGCAATACAAATGATAACAGTAACAATAATGGTTGTAGCTCACTCATGACCTCTTCTTTCCTTTCTAAGGCTGGGTGTAAATAATGTTCTTATCTTCTAAGAAATACCTCTGGCATCTCTGACTAGGCGATAAGTAGAAAGAAGAGAGACACTCTTAACTGCTGATCAAGAGGGAGGAGAGTGATTAGCATCCTCTGGGGAACACCTTGTTGATGATGGCTGCTTTGCATTGTTGAGGCTGTAAGAAGCACCTAAATTCCTCCTCCACAGAGCTCTCAGCTGCTGATGAAGTCAGTTCTGCATTAATCCCTCAGCACACTCCTTGTCAGGCTGATGTCTGATCAAAGCTTCCCTTGCCACTGCAGTCATAATTGCAACCCTCTGTAACCTTCCCCAGTTTGAGAAAGGGACATAGTCTGAATGTCAGTAGGAGGAAGGACTGGTCTTAGGCAACACCAAGAATCTTCTGAAGTAAGAAAATAAAGCAAAAACAGCCTGCAGAGGGACTAATTAGTAGCAAGGCTGAATCAATTTTTTGAGTTTTCACGTTGGGTGCTGTGGCCCCGGTTCCCTGGTAGCTGGGTTTGATACGCTGGGTCTCAGCAGTCCCCCGGAATTGCCCATCAATGCACCATGCACAGCCACTTCTGAAGGTTTAGCTTGGTTTCTGCCATGCACAAACTTAACCAAGGCAAGGAGGAACAGGCCCAGTGAAACAGCATTGCTCCTACAAGGTCAAAGCCTGGACTAGTGCGCAAGCTTCCTGAAGCTTAGACTGAATCTTGAGGAGTGGATTGATGCAGATGTGCGGGTATAACCCACTGCATTGATTTGCATTGGTGAGTACCAACAGATCTAGGCTCTCTCTCTCCTCACCACCCTCAGCAGTGGAAGTAAATGGCATTCATGTGGCTCTGCACCCACGCTGGGATCCTGCATTGACAGTCTGGCTCTGCAGCCAGACCCAAGATGGTTAGTCTGGGTAGCGCTGCAATGCACCCTGACATCTTGCTGAGGCCTCCCCAGCCTGGGCAACAAAACACAGACATAAACACATGCTCATTTAGGCTCTTTCTGCACTGCAGGATCAAACTGTGCTTTGAACATCTCAGAAAACAGCTGTAACAGAAGGTCCCTCCATCTCAGACATGCTTGCTCTCCTGGCAAAGGTGGGCCCCAATGTTTTGTGGGTCTGGTTGCACAATATGAAAAAAAAAGCCAACCAGATCAGAAATACATCTATATCTAGCAACAACCTATATTTGGATAGTGTAGGAAGAAAATACAACCTCACACTTTCAATTACAGCCCACCTCTTAAGTGAGGCAATCCTAGCCCACAGCAATGATGTCCTTTCTCCCCTCTTTTTACACTTTTTATGTCCCCATATTATTACTCACATGAAACATCCATTTTCAAGCATGGTATTTCCCTTTCTAATAAAATGCAGCAGGAGGTTCCACTGGTTAATTATAAATTGGTTTAAAAAGCATTTACCAAGAAGTGTTTTAAATCCCTTTCCCTTAATTTCATTTGATGCAGCATATGTCTTGCAGTGCAAAGGGGAGATGCGGCTTTATTGCCACTATCTGCCAGATGAACATGTTCATCATCAACAGTGCAGGGAGTGATAAGTCCCTTATCTGATACAGAGAGACAAAACACTCCCTCTTTCTTATCAACAAATTGAGTTATCAGCCAAGTGAAGTAGTTTTTCGGTAGCCTTTCTGACTGCGTTTTGCTTTTAAATCCATACTGGCAGCAAATGTTCATGGATGTATTTCCCTCTCTTATGCTCATTTCAAAATGCAGCAGCAGCGACAGATAAGAATGCTTCATCTCCCCAAGACGTCTGGTCCCAGAGCTGTTAAACAGTTCTGAATCTGCTCTGATTGCTGGTAAACTAAACTGCACCAAAAGTAACAAAAACGATGCAAGGCAGTCATACAAAGATCTTAGAGGAGCACAGAGGCTGTAACGCTGCATGACCAAAGCCTGCTGACATGACCATCACTGATGGCTTAGGCCACACTTCTTGGTGCTATCCCTTACTTCTGGGTGCCTGACCTGAGACAATTAGGACCCAGAAACCTTGGAAAGTGCAAGCCCTGATCTAGCCAAGGTAACGTGTTTGCTATACCTGGTTACCTATGCCCAAATCCATTCAGAATTAACTGCAGAGCATAATAAAGCTAGAGAGAAGTTAGGGTTATCAGCCATATGACATTATCAGGAGACTGTAACAGCTGAATGCATGAAAAGGTTTTTAGGTGTGAAGAGTTAGAAACCATCTGATGCTTTTTTAGGACTCAGTTTGATGGTATGTTCCCCACTGGCATGCTCTGTGCTCTGAGCAGCTATTCTGAAAGGCTTTGCACAGAGTACTACCCATGAGAAAGGTGTCAGCATCACACTAAGTTGAGCAGAGGACGAATGCGCTGTCGCTGGTATGTATTTCTCCATGCTGGAGACAGTATCATTTTGGTTGAGTTTGGCTGGAAAGTTAACTTCTTTGGGATAGCACTGAAAAGGATTTGCCCTTGACTGCAGAGGCCAGCTGTGCTCATTCCCAGCTCACCAACGTAATTTTTCAGTGTGACTGTTCTCTTCCATAAACCAGCCCTGAGCAGACATGACTTGATAGCAGAAACTCATGGAGGACAGGCACCTTAAGTCAGAAATGTTTCTTGTAAATACCTACAAACTCCCTGCTACACGCTCATCTTCCTCCCTCCCATAAAGACGTGATCAAACAGGAGCTCCAAGATTAATATAAGGGTTGACGACAAGAACATCATAATTTCACCTGCTGAGCAAGACAAGCAAAACCCGTGAGCGCTCTTGAGCTTGCTCAGCACAGAGGCAGACAAGGGCGCTCAGACGATCTTCACCAGCAGCTTGAACCAGAGCTCTGGACTTTGCACTGGTTCAGATAAGTAGATTGCATACATCCTTCCACCTCCTCAAAAAATAAAACACAACCACCTAAGAGCTGCAACAAGACCAGTAACACCTCCAATCTCCCGTATTTTTCAAAGGTCATACATATCTACTTTTTCAGAGGTTCTCCCTCTACGGGGCTACTTTCTTTCCCAGAATGTTTTCATGTGGCTGAACCTGTTAATTTGGTAGCAATCAGATGCTTTGTCTTTAAAGCAGCTATTTTGCAACCAGCTGCATTATTCCTGGAAGGGTTGTATACTCTCACCTGTTTGTAGATGGGACAGGATTGTTGGATATTAATTCTTGAAGAGACAAGAGATAATTATAATAATGGCCCAGCTGACAATAATTTCAATAGTTTCCAGCCTCGCTGTAAGCTGACACATTCCTTCCTCCAGATAATATCTGATACACTCAGATATTTCTGAAGCTGTGCCTCCACAGGACATGCCGTAAGAACTACAGCGAGCTCCGCACTCCTCTGCTTTCATACCAAACCTGCAGGAAAGTTGCTACAGGAGGGGTTGTTTATTTTTCTTGAACATTAATAAGAAACCTGCCTAATAACTTCCAATCCTTCCCTCCCTTTCAGCTGCACTGGTGCTCTGGAGCTGCTTCCCACGGGGTGCGTGGGTTCTGCAGATCCCCTGGGCATCACGCCAAGCAGAGGGGGACTCTCTACACTTGCAGGTGCAACATGGAAGCGGCTCCACATGCATGGGTAGGCAGAAAGACTCATTCCT